AAGTTCTGGAGGAGGTGGAGGGCGTGGGTGGTGTCACGGACATAGGTAGGGAGTTCCTGGACCAAGGGGGAGAAAATGGAGTCGAGATAGTTGGAGATCAGTTCGGTGGGGCAGGAGCAGGCGGAGACAATGGGTCGACCAGGGCATTCAGGTTTGTGGATTTTGGGAAGGAGATAGAAGCGGGCAGTGCGAGGTTGGGGAACGATGAGGTTGGAGGCCGTGGGTGGGAGGTCACCTGAGGTGATGAGGTTGTGGATGGTTTGCGAGATGATGGTTTGGTGCTCAGGGGTGGGGTCATGATCAAGGGGGCGGTAGGAGGAGGTGTCGGAGAGTTGGCGTCCGGCCTCGGCGATGTAGAGGTCAGTGCGCCATACTACAACTGCACCTCCCTTGTCCGCGGGTTTTATGGTGAGGTTGGGATTGGAGCGGAGGGAGCGGAGGGCTGCACGTTCTGCGGGGGAGAGGTTGGAGTGGGTGAGAGGGGTGGAGTCCCTGGCTTGTGTCAAAGAATTTCTGCCTCTGTTCAGGCTCCTCTGATGTGTTGGGTGCTTTCTAGAAACTTACTGCCTGAGCAGTCGTGGACAGAAATCCTGGGCCTCAATATCGCAGCATGATGTGCTTCATGGCTGACACAGCAGGGTGAAACATTAGGTTGAAGTAAAGATCCTTCGCATTGTTTTTCAAATGCTTGGGACCTCCTGAGCTCTGGAATCTCTTCCAGGTCTACAACCTTCACTCTGTGCTCATCTATTCGTGTGTATCTTCAATTTAATCTCTGCACAGTGATTTTCAATTTTGAACTCTCAGTCTGACAAATAAGTGGGAAATGACTGGCTTTAGGGATAGTAGGAACTGCAGATGCTGGAGAATCTGAGATAACAAGGTGTAGAGCTGGATGAACACAGCAGGTCAAGCAGCATCAGAGCAGCAGGAAGGCTGACGTTTCGGGCCTAGATTCTTGGGCGTTCTGAAATAAATAGGGAGAGAGGGGGAGGCGGATAGAAGATTGGGCAATGATAGATGGTGGATAGAGGAGCAGATAGGTGGAGAGAAGACGGACAGGTCAAGGAGGCGGGGATGAAGCTCCTCCAGTGCCACAACGATGCTACCCGAAGGCTGCAGGAACAGCACCTCATATTCCACTTGGGAACCCTGCAGCCCAATGGTCTCAATGTGGACTTCACAAGCTTCAAAATCTCCCCTTCCCCTACCGCATCCCAAAACCAGCCCAGCTCGTCCCTGCCTCCCTAACCTGTCCGTCCTTCCTCCCACCTATCCCCTCCTCCCACCTCAACCCCCACCCCCATCTCCTACCTACTAACCTCATCCAGCCTCCTTGACCTGTCCGTCTTCCCTTGACTGACCTATCCTCTCCCTAACTCCCCACCTACACTCAACTTTACTGGCTCCATCCCCGCCTCTTTGACCTGCCTGTCTCCTCTCCACCTATCTTCTCCTAAATCCATCTTCTATCCGCCTCCCCCTCTCTCCCTATTTATTTCAGAACCCCCTTCCCCTCCCCCATTTCTGAAGAAGGGTCTAGGCCCAAAACGTCAGCCTTCCTGCTCCTCTGATGCTGCCTGGCCTGCTGTGTTCATCCAGCTCTGCACCTTGTTATCAATGACTGGCTTTACTTCCTTTTGTGATATATATTTTGTAACGAGATGAGACGCTTTGAAATGAGATGTCCATGACGTGTGTAAATCTGCATACGCGTGCACACACATACACACAAATCCACCCACACACAGGCACCTCACCCCCAATATTCCCGCTAACTGTTTCTCTTTTGTGTGCATTTCAGAACAGTTATGGTGCATGAATCTTAGAGGGAGCATTGTTCAGCATCATCTTCTCAAGGGCAATTAAAGATGGGCAATAAAAAGTTGGCCTAGCCAGTGAATTGCACAGTAAGTAAGGTGGGCACTTACCTGTACAATTGTCGACGCAAAGGCGAGTCTTCTGTGCTCAGAAAGTATCTGTAGACAGAGGAAGACATATACTAAGTGGTTTCCTTTTCCATAGTCATGCATACAACTGCAACACACACTCGTCTTTCAGGAGGACTTAAAATATTCCATGACATTATGTTGAAAGTGTTCACAGCAGAGTCCCTTAGTGTCTGGGCCAATATCGGCTAACATCACCGAAAACAAATTAACTGGCTATTTTCTGAAGAAGGGTCCCGACTGGAAACGTCAGCCTTCCTGCTCCTCTGATGCTGCTTGGCCTGCTGTGTTCCTCCAGCTCCACACCTTGTTATCTCTGACTCCAGCGTCGGCAGTTCTCACTATCCCTTAACTGGTTATTATCTCTGTGTTGTGTGGGGGAGTGTGCTGTGTACAAATTGGTTGTCATGTTTCCTACATTATTACAGTGACAATACATCAAAACTACTTAATTGCCTGAAAATCCCGAAGAAGGGTCACTGGACTCGAAATGTTAACTCTGTTTTCTCTCCGGAGATGCTGTCATGTGCTGAGTTTCTCCAGCAATTTCTGTATTTATTTTTGATTTCCAGCATCTGCAGTTCTTTGGTTTATTTGCCTGACAACTGTTATGGGATATCATGACATTGTAAAAGATGTGATTAGCGTAGAAACATAGAAACTCGGAGCAGATGATCACACTGATCGATAACCACAATGTCTATTCCCACTTTCACCCATGCCCGTTGATACCTGTAAAATCTAACAAGTTATAAGACCATAAGAAGTACGAACTGGAGGAGGCCCTTTGGATCTTCAAGCCTGCTCCAATCAATGTAATCATTGTTGATCCAATGCTCCTCACGTCCACTTTCCTGCCCTTTTCCTGTAACTCTTGATTCCCTGGCTGATCAAGAATCTATCTATCTCAGCCATAAATATACACAAGGACTCTGCTCCCACAGCTCTCTGTGGTAAGGAGTTCCAAAGATTCACAACCATCTAAGAGAAGAAATTCCTCCTCAGGTCGATCTTAAATTGGCACCCTTGTATTCCGAGACTACGCCCTCTAGACATAGACTCTCCCATGAGGAGGAACATCTTCTCAGCACTTACCCTGTCATTTACTTTAAGAATCCTAAATGTTTCAATGGGATCAGCTCTCAGTCTTCAAAACTCCAGTGAGTCTCAGGCACAAAAACAGAAGTTGCTGGAATCAGAATTAATCAGAATTAATGTTTCTGGTCTGGGGACCCTTCCTCAGAGGAAGGGTTCCGAGGAAGGGTCACCGGACCTGAAACGTTAATTTTCATTTCTCTTCACAGATGCTGCCAGACCTGCTGAGCTTTTCCAGCAACTTCTGTTTTTGTTCCTGATTTACAGCATCCGCAGTTCTTTTGGTTTTTATCCAGTGAGTCTCAACCTATTTAGCCTTTGCTCATAAGACAATCTCTCTATACCAGGGGATCATCCGAGTGAACTTTCTCTGAACTGCCTCCAACGAAATGATATCTTTTCTGAAATAGGGGGACCAAAACTGCTCACAGCATTTCAAGACAACAAGGTGCAGGGCTGGATGAACACAGCAGGCCAAGCAGCATCATAGGAGCAGAGAGGCTAACGTTTCGGGCCTAGACCCTTCATCAGAAAAGCTTTTCTGATGAAGGGTCTAGGCCTGAAACGTCAGCCTCTCTGCTCCTATGATGCTGCGTGGCCTGCTGTGTTCATCCAGCCCTGCACCTTGTTGTCTCGGATTCTCCAGCATCTGCAGTCCCTACTATCTCTCACAGCATTTCAGATGTGGTCTCGCCGGCACCTTGTACAGTTGCAGTAAGACTTTCCTACTCTTAAACTCCAACCCCCTTAACAAAAGGGCCAACACTCCATTAGTCTTCCCGATTACCCTGCTGCACCTGTGTGCTAGTTATTTACCCTTTTCTTGAATATATTCAGTCACTTGGCCCCCACGGCCTTGTTGGTAGAGAATTCCACGGGTTCACTGCTCTGGGTAAAGAAATGCTTCCTCATCTCAGTCTTAAATTGCCTACCTTACTGAGACTGTGTGCCCCTGGTTCTAGACTCTCACCCAGGGAAAACATTCTCCCTGCATTTAGTTTGTGCAGCTCTGTTAGAATGTTACATATTTCAGTCAGATCCTCTCTCATCCTTCTGAACTCTAGTGAGTACAAAACAAGTCAAACTAACCTTTCCTCAGAGGACAGTTCAGCCACCCCAGTTTTAGTCTCATTTGTACATGGCTGAAAATGTAATTCCTCATCAAATCCTCTGGTCCTGAAGGAGACCATTCTGGTCTTTGAAGAGGAGATATTCAATTTGTGCCACACCTCAACTCTTTCCCTTAAACCCTGCCAGTACGCCCCCTTCAAGAATTTATCCAAATCTCTTAATATTGCAATTGTTTCTACACCCTTAACAGGCAGTGGGTTTCTTAACAAATAAAAATTATCCTGACCTTCTGCCTGGTTCTTTAGTCAATTACTTCAAATTGGAGTCCTCTGGTTATCAACCCTTAGGACTACTGGCCATTTCTCCTCTTGAACCTATTCCACCATCTGTAACCGAACACCCATCTCTGCTCAGGATCTTAGGTTATCCAAAAACTCATTCAAATTAAAATGAACAACTACCATTTGCTAATAGTGGCACCTCTGAATGCAGAATCATTTCCTGAAAGGCCTGGCACTAATGTTTAACGGGGAACACTCGGAGAATCCCTATAATGTGGAAGCAGGTCATTTGACCCATTGAGTCCATACCAACACTCTGGAGAGCAACCAACCCAGATTCAGCCAGTCTGCATATCCCTGCGCACTATGGGCAATTTAGCATGGCCAATCCACCTAACCTGCACATCTTTGGACTGTTGGAGGAAACCAGAGGAACCCCACGCAGACACAGGGAGAATGTGCAAACTCCTCTCAGACAGTCACCCAAAGGTGGAATCAAACCCACATCCCTGGCGCTGTGAAACAGCAATGCTAACTACTGAGCCACCGTGCCTCCCTGCTTCACTGTTCCACCCACTCTGTTCTTCTTCTGCAGATGTTCTGAGGAAGGGTCATAGACCCGAAACGTTAACTCTTATTTTCTGCTTCACAGATGCTGCCAGACCTGCTGAGCTTTTCCAGCAACTTCTGCTTTTGTTCCTGATTTACAGCGTCCGCAGTTCTTTCGGTTGTCCCCTTGAGGAGGTGGCCAGGGCCTCCGATGAACATCTCCCGTGAATGACAGTATCTCTGAAAGTGTGGCGCTCCCCCACATTGACAGGCTCTGTGTAGATACACTATACAGGTTCGTGTAATGGGAGTGTGGACCAGGCCAGAATTAAACGAGATATGTTACATTGTCCACAAGAGGTCGCCTTCAGATGATACACATTCAGCAGTGTCCTAAATGTCAAGTTATACTCACCCAATCTTGATGATGCTCTTGGAAACACTGCACATTGCGGCAACAAGTAATTTTATAACTACCTCCTACCTAACGTTCCAAGTAAAGAACAAAGTGAACACTGTATAACTGCAGCGATTAAATGATGCCTTTCATTTCATTGTCAGCTTCAGCGCAGAGCTATAAAGAAGTCTGGAAAGAGACACTGAAATTTTGATGGTTTTCTTGCATGAGAGAGTTGTATTTATGTAGGTTAACTGAAACTAAGATTTACATACTGCTGCTCAGGAGCAGTTCAACATGAAAACCAAGGGTCTGGTAACTTCCTGTGTTATCCAAAACTGACAAGTGAAAGAACTGCTGTGTAAAGAATTTGTAAGCGTGAAAGGCAATCAATTCTGCTTCATCTAAATCGGCTTGTAGCTACATGGTCCAGGTCCTCTACTCAGAATCCAATATTAATTCTTGTCTGTGGCAACTGAATCTTTGCAAAGGACCTATAGCACTGTACATACATTGGTAAATAGAGGATGAGAATTAGACTATTACAATCTTAGTCGAATGGAGAGGTAAATATATGCTATGCATACTGCATAAACAGTGATATATATCAGAATATTCAATGGAAACATCATTACAGTGGAGAAAGGTGCTGCAGAGGGTCCAGTGGGGCAGCTGATGTGGACAAGAGGTCAGCAAAGGTATAGTATGACAAGCCACTCACCATCGCGACTTGGTAATATATCGCCTTTCCTTCAATGTTGTTAGGTTAAAATCTTGGAACTCCCTCCTTTTTTTTTCTTTATTTGTTAACAGGAGGAGGATGTCGCTGGCTGGGCAGCATTTATTGTCCATCCCTAATTGCCCAGAGGGCAGTTCAGAGTCACATTGCTGTGGGTCTGGAGTCACATGTAGGCCAGACCAGGTAAGGATGGCAGTTTCCTTCCCTAGAGGACATTAGTGAGCCTGATGGGTTTTACCAACAATTGGCAATGGATTCATGGTCAGCATTAGATTCTTAATTCCAGATTTTTTTAAAAAATTGATTTCAAATTCTACCATGGCAGGATTCAAACCCAGGTGCCCAGAATGTTATCTGGGTCTCTGGATTAACAGTCTAGTGATAATACCACTAGGCCATTGCCTCCCTGAGCAACATTGTGGGTCAACCTACAGCACATGGACTGCAGCATTTCGAGAAGACAGCTCACTGCCACCTTCTCATAGGCAATTAAGGAAGGATAATAAATGCTGGCCAGCCAACGACACACACATCTCCTGAGTGAATAACTTTAAAAATTTAAAAAGGAGCGATAGTAACTGAGAGCAATGGAGTAAAGAGGAGAAGGGTGTGCGGAGGATGTTGTTGGGAGCAGAAGTATATAGAACACTGTCCAGGACTGTGTGACATCGCATTAAAAGAGACAAGTCATATTTTGGGTGCTGAACCTCACTGGGAGGATAATGTAAAGTCCTGAGACATTAACCCATCACTGTCTTTGAGATATCAACTCAATCATTGTGGGTATAAAACATTTATCTCCTTCAAATCAGATTCTTGTCAGGGGTTACCTTTCCTTCCGTCTTTGTAAGGGCCAACACGAACTTGGGCCCCTTAGGGAATGAGACTGGGGGGATTATAACGGGGATCCAAGAAGTTAGAGAGGAGTTGAATAAATTCTTTGCATCAGTCTTCACAGCAGAGGACAATAATAGGACTCCTAAAACACAAAATAGTCTTAGCACTAAATGGGAGCATAAAAGGTGTGGTTCGAGAAGCCAAGCTGCATTGAGACCAGTGGCAGAGTGATGTCACATCGCGTGATGTGAATACAGGAAAATGGGCTGTTTGAGGAGTCAGTTGGTAAATACGTCCCATCTTTAAAGTAAAAGTAAGGTTTACAGGTTGTGTTTAGGTCTCCAGTGTTTTACTTCCCTCATTACTGAAAAATAGCTGGTTGAGTATAAGATTGATCCAGGTCATTATTCTTTGTTAAAAAAAAAATCATTACAGTAAAATGTACGGATCAGGCTACCTTGAGTAATTAATTTGAGGGCAGGTGATGCGCTGCTGCTGAAACAGGTGGAAGGTGCTGGACACCAATGTCATCCAGAACAAACACAACTGCAGTTAATGCAGCTGGAGGAACTTCAGATTCAAGTTGAGGAGCTGGAGTCTGAGCTGCAGACACTGCACCACGTTGGAGAAGGGAAAATTTACCTGGACATTTTGCTCACATCCTTCAGGCTACGTCATTCAAACTTAGTCCGTGATCAGGGAGGGTAGGGTGAGGCTGCAGGTGACTCAGGGATGAGGACCCAGGAGGTTACAACTGAGAAGCCTCAACCCCTGTAATTGTCCAAAAACTATGAAGTTCCTGCAAACTGTGTTAACTAGGGTAGTGGCTGCAGGGATGATGAGCAAACTGACCATGGTACCAAGTGGTGGATAGGAAATGGGGATGTAGTTGTGGTAGGGGACAGTGTAATTAGGGGATAGATACATAGCTGTGAGAGAGAATCCCAAAGGCTGTATTCCCTGGTCAGTGCCAGGGTACATCTCCTTGAGGCTGGAGAAAAGCCTGGAGTGACGGGAGGGGGATCCAGTTGTTGACATTTGCATTGGAATCAATGACATTGACAGACTAGAAAGGAGGTTCTGCTGAAACATGCTGAACAGTCAGGAGTTAAATTACACAGCAGAACCTCCAAGGCAATAATCTCCGGATTACTACCTGATCCATGGGCAAACTGGCATAGGGCAACTTAGGTCAAGGAGTTAAATGCACAGCTCAAAAACTTGCTTGGGTGGAATGGGTTTCAGCTTGTAAGGCAGTGGTGCCAGTATAGGGGTGGAAGGGAACTGATCTGATGGGATGGCCTTCGCTTGAGCCGAGCTGGGACTGGTACCTTGGCTAATTGAACAACTAGAGCAGCGGAGAATGGGCTTTAAACCAACTGGGCCAGGGGAGGGGTAGGGCTTTGAAGAGAAAAATGTAGGCTTACAAAGCAAGAGGATATGGCAGCATTAAAGGGCAGTTATTTGGGTAATGAGTGAGGCAGGAAAGGAACAATGTCAGAGTAAAAGATCCTCTGGGGAATCAGTGACCATAACCTTATAGAATTTAGCTTTCAGTTTGAGAGGGAGGAACTTGGATTCCTCGGGCTAAACTGATCCAATGATATGGGGCAAAAGTGGGAACAGGGTGGTGAGTAGATGATCAGCCATGAATATATTGAATCAATTGATAGATAGGTTCTTGAATGATATGGGGATCAAAGGTTATGGGGAGAAACAGGAGAAATGGGTTGAGAAACATATCAGCCATGATTGAATGGTGGAGCAGACTTGATGGGCTGAATGGCCTAATTCTGCTCCTATATCTTATGGTCTTATGAAGGAGCAGGCTCAAAGACCAAATGGCTTACTCCTGTTCCTATGTTTCTAAAACTTTCATTACTCAAGCAGCACAGATTGAGTAATATAGTTCCAAACATAATTTGAAATCTCTACGTGCCAAGTAATTGCAACATAGGATAAATTGGCCAACACTCACTGCTTGTCTGTTATATATAGGTCTTGATAGTCATAGAATCCCTGCAGTGCAGAAAAATTCAGCCTGTTGAGTCTGCATTGACCCTCTAAAGAGCATCCCATCCAGGCCCACAAATCCATTTCCAAGCCTGTAACCCTGCATGGGGCTTTTGTTATGGCTAACCCACCTAATCTGCTCATCCCAGCACACTATGGGACAACCCTTAGCATGGCCAATCTACCTAACCTGCACAGTGCGGGAGGAAACCAGAGCACTCAGTGGAAACCCACATAGACAGGGAGAAAATGTGCAAACTCCATTCAGACAGTAAGATAAGGCTGGAATCAAACCTAGGTTCCTGGTGCTGTGTAGCAGCAGTGCTAACCACTGAGCCACTGTGCCTCCCACCATTGGCACATTGACACAGTGGCACCATGACACATTTTCATCTCCATTGACACCAACTGGAAATCATTCTCATATCAGCTGTTTAACATTTTAGCCATACGTCTTAATAAGTCCCCTACATTATCTGTAATTTGTTCAATAGTTTCTGGAAACTTACATTTTTTGATGCACTTCATCATATGACAAGATCTGTGTCACATCCCAGTTACCAGAGGTGATGGACTGTAAATTGTCATTACTATTGTTAACCTGGAAGAGAAGAAGATACAATCAAAGTTATTAAACTGTCAGAATTGATAACACTTGGAAAGTGTAGGCTTTATTTAATCCATCTTTATAAACATATAATAGATGAACTCTTTAGTTGACATCAATTTACTTTTGCCAACAAAAACTAAGTTATTTTGGGATATTTTTACAGCCCAGTTGGTCACAGCCAAAACTTTTGGGTCCATGGGATATCAACATCAGTAGCCAGGCCAGAATTTATTACCAAATCCAAAATGCCCTTGGACAGAGACAGTAAGAACTGCCGATGCTAGAGTCAGAGATAACACAGTCTGGAGCTGGAGGAACACAGCAGGCCAGGCAGCATCACAGGGAGAGGAAAGTTGACATTTTGGGTCAGGACCCTTCTTCAGAAATGAGGGAGGGGGAAGGGAGCTCTGAAATAAATAGAGAGAGGGGGACGGGGCTGGGGAAGGTAGGATGGTGATAAGGGTCCTGACCCGAAACATCAACTTTCCTGCTCCTCTGATGCTGCCTGGCCTGTTGTGTTCCTCCAGTTCCACACTGTGTTAGCCCTTGGACAGAACGGCTTACCAGGCCTTTTCAGAGGGGTCAATCACATTGATGTGGGTCTGGAGTCCGCAGCAGATTCCTTCCCAATTATTATTGAAGCAAATGGTCTTTTCACAATATTTCAATGTCACTATTACTGAGACTGACCTTGGATGCCAGATTAATTAATTGAATTCTGCAGTGGGGTTTGAACACATATCTCAAAAAGCATCAGTGGCTGGATGATTAGTGCAGTGACATTACAATTACACCATCATCTTGCTTATGCCTTCTTTGCTTCTGTTTACAGAAGTAAATTCACCGAGATAATATTGGAGGGATCATTTTCCTTCAATACTGCACTGGCTAATGCAACGCATAATATAAAGAACATGCTGTTTTAGCATCATTGCTTATTTATGTGTCCATGGGATAATAATTGTTCTGAAATTGATCACAGGGGAAGTTTGTAAGAGTACGCTGGCTTGGCCAATCTCTCCCAGTGGTGGACCTTACTGGGATTCTACTTAGCATTTCCCAACAGCAACGCAAATGGAAAACTTGGGAAATGTGAGGATGGAATTGTAGAAACACTGGGTGATCATTCATGCTGTAGAGTCATGCTTCATTGAAATGCCCTTTAAATGAAAAAGAGTCTTCATCCTCTATTGAATCTCAAATGTTTGTGTGATAACAGAAGTTAAGGGGGAGGCAATGGCCTAATGGTATTATTACTGAACTGTTAATCCAGAGACTAGATAATGAACTGGGAATCTGGGTTTGATGGCAGATGGTGGAACCTGAATTCAATTTTTAAAAAAATCTGGAATTAAGAGTCTAATAGTGACCATGAATCAATTGTCAGGGGAATAATCCATCTGGTTCACCAATGCCCATTAGGGAAGGAAACTGCCATCCTTACCTGTTCTGGCCTACATGTGACCCCAGACCCACAGCAATGTGGTTGACTCTTAACTGCCCTCTGGGCAAATACAGATGGGCAATAAATGCTGGTCTAGACTGTGATACCCACATCCTGTGAATGAATACATTTTTTTAAAAAATGCAAAAATCAAGTGAAAGTAGATTTTCAATATATATTCCAAGAAAAATCCTTGTAGTTGCAGGGGAATATTATCTCTTTTATTTGACAGCCCTTTCAATAATCTGTGTATGGTTATATTTCCAGAGTACTTGCACATCCAGAATGAATGATAGCAAACGTGCAGAACATTAGCAATCATTAGTGAGTATTCCGCCAGTTGAAGAGTCAGAAATTGACAGAAATTAGACACTAATTTTTCAGTAAAGAAATGTTTTACTTGAAAACTGAATAATTGAACTACAATGAAACCCACGAATCTAACCGATTCTCTGCAATGCTTACCTGAGCAGATGACATGGAGATGTGGCAAAACTTCCCTCTGCCTCCCTGCGGGAGTGGGCGGATAAAAAAAAACTTCTTCCCATCTTTGGAAAATAAAGGGGCCTCGTTCTGAAAGAGACAAAAACATTGGTATTTAATGACTGTGGTACAATGTTGAGCATAGTGGACAGCAAAGTTACAACAGTCAGAAGAACATTATTCCATTCAAAAGGACTACATCTTTATTTCAAAATAATGGGTAGAGGACTAGTACTTAAATGAAGATGATGAAATAAGTGGTAAGACCACACAGACCTTGGGGGTAAATCTTGGCTCTGTGTGTCAGTGCAAACACTATTCCCCAAGTCGGCAGTCTGTTTTGCATCTTCCCTGATTTTTATCTCAACAGCTTCAGTCAAGTGAGATACAAAATGCTACATCTCAAACTGTCTAGTCCTGGCAACATCCTTGTTAATCTTTTTGGCACACTATCTCTCAAGTTTAACAACATCCTTCTGACAGTAGGGCAGCCAGAACTGTACACAGTACTCCAAAAGTGGCCTCAACAACATCCTGTACAATCTCAACATGACGTCTCAACTCCGATACTCAATGGTCAGAGCAATGAAGGCAAACATGCTAAACATCTTCTTAACCACCCTGTCTACCTCAGATGCAACTTTCAAAGAATTATGCACCTGAACCCCTGGGTCTCTCTGTTTGACAACAGTCCCTATTAAAGGGATGCATCTTAAAATCCCATGAAACAGGGTGCAATGACACTGTTTGCAACAGCAGACGTGCAAACAGTTTCCCAGTTAATGTGTATCATCTTGCCATTAAAGAATCCATGTTGTTGTTTTTACATCCTCATCATTTGATTGGTACATTTACGTTGAATAGAAGGACATTATAGTGTCATGTGACAACTCTTGGCCCCAAGGCAAGGATGCAGTGGGAAGGAAATGAAATTCGGAAGTTCCTAACATCAAAGACATGTTTGAATTTTCTGGTTTGTTTATTTTCAGACCTTATACCGCAAGGAAAGAAAGAAGACTTCTCAAATGAATCCATTTAGTGGAGTGATCCTGACAGTAATAACAGCTATGGGACAATGCAAGAGCTTCACTTCTTCAGGCAATCTTCCAGTTCAGGAGAAAACCCTGACCCTAACATGATAGGGGATGGCTCTTGTGGCACAATAGTAATGTCCCTACCTCTGAGCCAGGGGACCTCAGTTCAAGTCCCACTTGCTCCAGAAGTATATTCAAACATCTCTGAACAGGTTGATTAGAAATACCTAACCTGACAAGGGAACAGACTACAAGGCGGCATGGCTTTGAAATTAATTTGGTACTTTGAAGAAATTTAACAGGGGCACAAATCTCACAACATTGACTTTGGTGTCCCAATAATACAAGAGAAACAAGAAAGTGAAAAACAAGGTTTTGAAAGCTCCACCTTGGATCTATCCACTTTCGTTCCTGTTCTCCACACACTTAAACATGCACACACAGGTACACATGCTCCTTTAACTCAGCTTCGAATTGCTGTTCTACAGAACTTTGGCTCATGTGGCGACCTTCATTCGATTACATTCAACCATTATTTTGGACAAACACAGCTTCACTGCCACCACCAAATATGAAATTCCAAAGAGGCATATGTCATTGGCTTGGGGCATTAAAAGGTGGGGATTTCTGGTTTTGAAAATAATGCATCATGCTGCCTGAGCTATGGATTGTCTTCTCCATCCAGCCCCGTGCTGTGGTCAGGAAAGCAAGTTCCTTTTACAGCCAAGGAAAAACATTGGGATTGTACCTTTTCACTTTGTCAGCGGCAAAATAGTCAATTCATTTGCGGCAGCATGGCCGCTCAGTGGTTAGCACTGCTACCTCACAGCACCAGAGACCTGGGTTCGATCCCACCCTTGGGCACCTCTCTGTGTGGAATTTCCTCCAGGTGCTCTGGTTTCCTCCCAGAGTCTGATGATGTGCAGGTTAGCTGAATTGGCCATTCTGAGATTGTCCCTCGTGTCCAGAGATGAGCAGAGTGAGTGGATTAGCCTTGGGAAATGGAGGTTTACAGGGAAGGGGTGGGATGCTCTTCAGAGGGTCATTGTGACTTGATGGGCTGAATGGCCTGCTTCCACACTGTAGGGATTCTATTACTTTGAAAAGCATCTTCAAAACTCAATTAATAACAGGCCACATTATACTAATATCTAAAAATAATGCCAAATTAAGCTGAAAGTTTGAACTGAGTGCCTATTCTAGTCCTGACACGCAACTTTTACAAAATGAATAGAACAATCTAGGGTTGTAAAGGCTTTTTTATGGCTACAACGATTTCAAATCTTTTATTACTCTATTCTGTTTTATTACTTCAAATATGTTAGATCCACATTTATTTCCTGACCAGACTTGACAAGCTACAATGATTGGATAGAGAGCTGAACAGGCCATTGAAGCATACGACATTCAGTTTTGTCACATAAGTAGTGCCAAGTTAGTTTCTGTATTTATTGAATGCTTGGTGCAATCAATCATTTTAGCTGGCTATTTATTTACACTTCCTAGCTTTTGCATTGCTGTTTTCTTTCCACTGTCAATAGTTAGCATGCCAGCCTGTAGCCAAGCATTCATGGCGGTCACTCAAAGCTGTAACTGAATAGGTTGGGGGGCTCCGATAGTGAGAAGGCTTTTCCAAAGGTACACTGTCTGTGGGAAGCCTTGCTCACCAACACTGCAGGCTCACCTTCGTGAATAACTCAGTCCATCTGATTGTGACTGAGCCATCTAGACTTTCTTTTTAATTGTGGGGCATGGTGCTGTTGGCTACTCCAGCCCATCTCTATTTGCCCTCGAGAAGGTGGTGGTGAGCTACCTTCCAGAACCACTCCAGTCCTATTGGTGTAGGGGGCAACTAAAATGCTGTTTGGAAGGGAATTCCAAGATTTTAATTCAGCGACATCGAGGGAATGGCAATATTTTTCCACATCAGGATGTGGCTTGGAGTAGAACTTGCAGGTGGTAAGGCTCCTGGGCATCTGCCACACTTGTTCCTCTTGGTGGTAGAGGTTGTGGGTTTGCAAGTTGCTGTCAAAAGAGCATGGGTGAGTCACAAGATACTACAGTGCATCTTGTAGACGGGGCACAATGCTTCCACTGTGTTAGTGGCGAAGGGAGTGAACGTTGAAGGTGGCAGATGAAGTGCCAGTCAAACTGCTTTGTCTTGGATGGTATTGAGCCTCCTGAGTGTTTCTGCAGCCCCAACTATTCTAGCATTTAATCACACTCCTGACCCCACCACGCTGGGTACAGATCCAGTCCAGCAGTCCTTTGGCAACGTCAGTGATAGTGCTCTGACCGCTGTCTGAAAAGGTTGTGAATTGCAATTGAGGCTGTGACTCTGCCACAGTACTGAGGGAGCTCTGCACTGTTTACACTGCTGTCTTTCTGAGGAAGGTGATCTAGTGACAGTGCAGGAATTGGATGGGATGTCATCACATTACCCTCCAGATGTTCCTATCCATGGGTATCATGGGAAGAGGCTCCAAAAGCACCACTGTACACCATAGCCAATATTAATGACGCTCAGAGAGACATCCACCCCTCCTCATAGGGTCAAACAGCATGGAAACAGATCCTTCAGTCCAACCCAACCATGCCAACCAAGATTCTGAAATTAAATTAGTCCCATTTGCTTATGTTTAACCTGTCCTAATGTCTTTTAAGTGTTGCAACTGTACCTTTTTTTTATTATCACTCACGGGATGTGGTTGTCACTGGCCAGGCAGCATTTATTACCCATCCCTAATTGCCCAGAGCGCAGTTAAGAGTCAACCACATTGCTGTGGGTCTGGAGTCACATGTGGCCAGACGAGGTAAGGATGGCAGTTTCGTTCACTAAAAGGCATTTGTGAACCAGATGGGTTTTTCCAACAATCGACAATGGGTTCATGGTCATCATTAGACTCTTAATTCCAGATTTTTTTTTGATTGAATTCAAATTCCACCATCTGCTGTGGTGGGATTCAAACCCAGGTTCCCGGAACATTATCCGGTTCTCTAGAGTAACAGTCCAGCAATAATACCAATAGGCCATCGCCTTCCATAACCTGCATCTGCCAGTTCCTCTGACATTTCATTCCACATACGAACCCACTCTATGTGTGAAAAAAGTTGACCCTCAGGCCTCTTTTAAACATTTCCCCTCTCACCTTAAACCTATGCCCTCTATTTGGAACTGCCCGACCCTACGGACAAGACCTTTGCTACTCACCTTATCCATTCCCCCCATGACTTTATAAACCACAAAAGATCACCCCTCACCCACCTCTGCTCCAGTGAGAAAAGTCCCTGCCTATTTCACCTCTCCTTATAACTCACACCCTCCAGTCCCAGTAACATTCTTGTAAATCTTTTCCGAACCCTCCCATTTAATAATATCCTTCCTCTACCAGGGCGACCAGAACTTTACACAGTGTTTCTCATGGAGGAGATGGATAATAAGGATCCCATGAAATTGCCATAAGGGGTGTCTTGGTGTCCAAGTGTCATACTATTGCCTGTATACTGTTTGCACCTTCATTTCATTGTAGTTCAAGAGATTTTACAGTGTGGAATGCCTGCTTTGTTTAACCATGATACTGTAATCTCGATGAGGGGCTTTGTGAAATTTCTGAGAGAGGTGGCCAAGTGTACTATCTGGATTGTCAGCTGTGGCTCCATGATTAATGGTCTCACCTTGATGACTGAAAGCAGTGAGTTCAAGTCCCTTTCCAGAGACTTGCATGTAAAATCCTACATTCAGTGCAACGCTGAGAGAGTGCTGCACTGTCAGAGGTGCTGCCTTTGAGACTGGGAGGATTAGGTCTGAGTGAGAAATCACATTGATGTGAGTGAGTCTGGACTTTGTCAGGTTGTGCTCAGTCATTAGGGGAGCTTTCAATATGGGCTCCACTTTAGCACCATGCCCCACTCACTAAATTGCAGCGTTTCAGAGATGATTCTGTAAGCCGACGAAGAAGAGAGAGAGATAGATGCACCATTCCATTATTTTATCTCTTACCTGCCTCGAGAGCCAGCTTTCACTTTCATCCTCGTGTTTCTGTAGGAGTAAATAGGTGTTCTTGTTAGCACATCCATCAAACTAACTCAGCAACTTTTCATAACATTCACTCCACAAACCCTTGTTGACTCTCCAGTGCAGACCTGAAGGAGTGCTGCACTGTCAGAGGTGTTGTCACTTGCATGAGGCATTAAAATGGGATCCCCTCTGTTCTCTCGGCAACTGTAAAATATGCCCTTAAAACCCTTTGAAAGAAGAGCAGGGGAGTTTTTGTTGTCCCAACTTTCACCTGGCCCCATGATCCCAAGGTCACAGACAACCCTCAGCTCTGCTCGGAATCTCCACTGCCTGGGAGTATCCTGTCCAGCCAAACCAGGTCAGATGGTGGAATTGCCCACCTTTAGCAAAGGCATGGATCCAGCAGATTCACTCACAGGAGAGATCGCGAGGCTTGTCCCAAAACCATGACTGAATTCTACCGGATCATGGTTCTCACATCACTCCTCCACAGCCTTCCATCTTTCTGTGTTCTACCTGCAGCATCAAGCAGCAGGAAAACATATCTCACCCTAAAACTCTTGCTGTTTAATATTTAATATCAAGAGCTTAGAGTTGCTGATTTGAGCTTAGAATTGCTGGGGCAGCCATAATGTTCGCACGCAGGACTCCTGAATATTAAAGGGATATTCCCAGGAACCTACACCACAGGATGTTCCAAACTTAGATAGAACAACACTCTCAGAGCCATTAAATTAGACCTGGAGTAAAACAACCAGGGAGAGATCCAAGTGCAGAAGTCACTGTCGTCTAGAACTTCCCAGGAGAACAGGGTCAGCTCCTGACAGTGAACACCTTGAAAAGCCAATGCCCTTTCCCCAATCTCTACTGGAAACGGCAAGTACAGTCTTTGCAATCAGATTTGTAAATCAGTTTAACGCAGGTTTGGGAAAACACGAACCTTGACAGAAAACAGTTACTCTTGTTTGTGAATCCAACTGAGTGATCAGAAAATCCGTCAATAAGAGTGACAGCTAGTGAAAGGCGCTTTGGAAAAGTAATTCTCCCTTCCTTTCTTTCAAACCATTTAAACAATATAATAGCAAGCAGAATGTTCTGGAAAGACCCACTTGATGGCTCACTCTGCTCCTTCCCATGGAAAAATGGAAGGTCTTGAATCAGTTTTCATTCCTAAGCCCCAGCCTGCCCAGAGCTCAACAAAAGTTGTCCCAAACGACCAGTCACCGGGTCACTTTTAACCTGAAGGTCACTTTGCAAGTGACAGTCAGTCATCAAAGACTTGGACAGGTTGGGAATCATAACCAAATGGACCCTGTACTTTGCAAATAACACATGCGGGTCATTCCATTAGCACTAGAAAGGACAGAAACCAGTAGTGGGAATCAGATTCTAGATCCTTCTTTAGGCCAGGGCATTGAAACTCCTGTGGGTGACCCACCATGACAACAGCTAACGCAGCAAAAACCAGGGACTCAATGTGAGATCTTTCTATTCCACAGACTTAAGAGTCTGAACCACACAGGCCAGGAGGACAGCTGTGGCCTTGTGTTTCTACTTTTTTATCCTCATCAGCGGAAGCTTCATTGATGGTATTTTTCATTTGCCGGTGTGATTTGATTCCTGCTCACTAGTTGTGCCCATACCTTAGTGCAAATCCCTGTCGTGGCCTCACACAAGGTGAGAATGGAAACATTCTGGGCTCTGTTCAGCCAGTTCACTGCGAGTTTAATACTACTTGCCCATGTCACCATGGTAATATAGTATTCCCTGAAAACAGAAAGAAAGAAAAACAATATGCAGTCAAGATATTGATGAGCAATTTATCCCCCCAGTATCTCACTTGTTCCGCCTAACTCTGATAATGACCTTTATTTCACAAAGTCAAGGAGTTTGGTGATGGACCCCACAAAAGATAGGAGCTCATGTTATTGGGTTATAATATTATATAAGGTTATCATGTTATAATGTATTCGTAAGAACTGAGGATTGGTTAACAGACTAGAGGGATAGAGAGTTGGGATTAACGGATCTTTTTCAGGTTGGAATGCCACAAGCTACAGTCCTAGGATCTCAACTGTTTACTCTTTATATTAATATCTTGGAGAAGGGGGCAGGCCCTAATGCATCCAAATACAAAACTAGGTGAGAGGGCATTTTGCGATGAAGACATAAGAAATCTTCAAGGGATGAAGATTGGTTAAGTGAGTGGGCAAAAATTGGCAGATGGAGTTTAATGAAGGAAAGTGTGATGTTGTGTGTCATAAAGCAGACTATAATTTAAGTGGAGAGAGAGAGACTCGAAAAAGTGCAGCAGACAAATACCTGGATATCTTTGCGCATATAACCTAAAAGAATGAATGGATGATTTTATTGTCACATGTATATTACAGTGAGAAAAGCAGTAAAGTACAGTGAAAAGATTTTGATTTCCACTACAGTCCGGCGCCATTTTGAATGCTTTAAGAATTAGAAGAAAATAAAAAGATGGAGCTGAAGGAGAGTCCATCATCCTGAGCCAGCTCATCATCCTTCCTCCACCACTTTGCCATCTACACCTGACCCAACCAACATTAAAGTCGCCACTCCCCAGGGCACCATCTTTTGCCACACCCACCAACATCACAGTCATGTCTCTTGCTGCTGGGCCCACCTCATCGATGTGGCTGCCATGCCCTTCCACCACCTCTTCTCCACAGCAAGCACCCAACACAACCGACAATGAAGTTGCTGATCCTCAGGTGCCATTTTTCGTTGTCGGGCCTACCTCGCTGATGTTGCCTCCGCTGATTGAGCAGCCGCCGATTCCGATGCCAGGACCCGAGCTCGCCACGGAACTGTAAGTAGGGGCTCACTCGGGTTTGTGCCGGGCTCACTCGTGTTTGTGCTGGGATTACTCACTGCTGCCAATGCTGTCTGAGCTCAGGACAAGAGGAATGTAAAGGAAAATAAGCAAGTAAAGGAAAAAAACAAAAAAATTAGAAAAAACATAAAAGCGGTCGGAGCAGGTGAGCCCTGGCACAGGAGTCCTATTCCATCGCCATCTTGGTGGCATATAATAGTGACTGAATAGTAACCTAAAGGGTTAATGTATGAGTGCAGTAAGTAATTAAAGATGAAATTGGATTTTTGGCCTTTATTGTTAGTGGGTTGGAGTTTAAAAATCGGGATTTTGGAGGAGATTTGTAGCTCGGGTTGTGGGTGTCACTCATCTCAATCCACATGGACAAGGAGAACCACCACTTCGACTGGGACAACACCAAGATCCTGGGACAGGCTAGGTAGAGACAGGCACAAGAATTCCTAGAAGTCTGGCACTCGACGAAGCATGCTATTAATAAACACATTGAACTCGACCCCATGTACACTCCACTATGAAGGAAAACCGGAAGTGAAGCAACCCATCTCAACGGACCCCGGAGTTTAAAAACCAGGCGGGAAAACACACCGACGCTTCATCGGAGGCTGCACTGAGGATGAGCACGGTAACGAAACATCTGCGAAACAAGAAACCAGCTCGGCGAGCCAACCAACCTCAACAACCTCAACTTAAAAACAGAGAATTGTTGTTACACATGTACACAGTGTTGGTGAGGTTGCACCTGAAGTGCTATAATAAAAACAGAAATTGCTGGAGAAACTCAGCAGGTCTGGAAGTATCTGTGGAGAGAAAGAAGAGTTAATATTTCGAGTCAAGTGACCCTTCTTCATAAATACTGTGGAGTACTGTGCACAGCTTTCATTCCTGCATTCAAGAATGAATCTACTGGTATTGGAGGCAGTTCAAAAGAGACTCACTCAGCTGATTCCAGCAATGAGGGAGTTGACCTGGCCAGAACAGCAATGACAGGCTTGGCCTTTATTCATTAGAGTTTAGAAGAACGAGGATGGTCTCACTGAAACATAAAAGATTCTGAGGAAGATTGACAGGCTGGATGTTGAGAAGATATTTCTCACTTCAAACTGGGGATATTCATTAAAACTGTGATCCTTCTGTCAGAGGGTAGTGATTGTCTAGTGTTTTCTACCTAAGAGAGTTATGGAGCCACCATCACTGAAAGTGTTTAAGGAGGAGGTCAATAGATCATTGAAACATCACAGATTTTAGGGCAATGAGAGGATGGCTTGAGAGGAGTTGAGGCCTGGGGCAGAATCTGCAATGATCTTACCGAATGGGACGGCAGGCTTGAGGGCTGAATAGTTAACTACTGCTCCTGTTTCTTATGTTACTACATTGATATGGCCTTAACATTTCAGCCGCCTGCATTCTCACTGCAGTTAAAACCATTTATAAACTGGGAGGGATGGCGCTGTGGTGGTAGTATCATTGGGCCAGGGACTGGGCTATTATGCTGGGGAACTTGGGTGCCAGTCCTACTGCAGAAACTGGTGAAATTTCAAGCCAATTAATAAATCTGGAATTGAAAGCTCGTTTCAGGAGTGGTGACCTTAAACTGTTCAACTGCTCTTGGCAGGATGGACTTCATTCCCCAGGAGTGCTTGATCCCAAGGAAGGCCCAGCGCTGCCGATGATATTAAACTGCCTGTTTAATATTTGCTGTGACCAACCTTCCCAAAAGTAAGCAATGTGAGGCTTTCATATGCCCTCCAGCTGACAGGTGGGACCCCCTGTTGCTGATATTAAATACCACCTCAATATCTGAGCACTTATTCTGAACGGACACAGTGTAGGTGAAACGAGACCAAAATCAGTTGTGCTGTTTCGTTGGTGGCCAAGGTATTAATGGAAGCTTTGGTTGTCTGTTCAGGTGATGTCAGATTCTCCTAGTGCTATTTGAAGAGGAACAATGAGATCTCTCAATGCATTACTCCATATTTATCATCAACAAACAACAGCCAAAAGAAAACAGGTTGAATGACTAAATAGAAAACAATTGAGTTCTGAAGAAGGGTCACTGGATCTGAAACATTAACTCTGCTTTCTCTCTCCATGGGTGCTACCAGACCCATTGAGATTTCACAGCGATTTTGTTTCAGGTCGAATGACTATTCATCTCATTTGCTGTCTCTGTGACCTTACAGGTGGATATCTTCAATATTTCTGCAGCACATCGTAAGTTCAACTTTACTCCATTTAACTCTATCAACAAACTCCCTTATTTTTCTCACATTGGCTGTTTACCTGAAGTGTCTTTTCAAGGTGATTCATTGAATATCAAATTGTGTGTGGACAATGTCTGGGGGATATTGTGATGAAGGCTCATGATTCTTATTATTATTTTGAAAAATGGCTCCAAGAATATTCCAGCAATAATATTGTGAAGATTTATGCTCCAGAACTTGCCTCGTCCCTAGCCAAGCTGTTACACTCCAGCTACAACACTGGCATCCACCCGACAATGTGGAAAACTGTCCAGGTATGCCCTGTACATGAAAAGCAAAACAAACCTAACCTGGTCAACTACCTCATCAGTCTACTCTCAATCATTGACGGAAGGTGTCATCAACAGTGTTATCAACCAACACTTGCTGAGCTACAACCTGCTCAATTAGGCTCAATTGGGGCCATTCAGCTCCTGACCTCATTACAACCTCAATTCAAACTTTGACAAGATGGTTGGATTCCAGAGCTGGGGTGAAATTGAATGTCCTTGACATCAAGGCTGAATTTGATTCAGGATGGAATCAAAGAGTCCTAGCAAACCTGGAGTCAATGGGAATCGGATTAAAACTCTCTGCTGGTTGGAATCATATCTTACACATAGGAAGATGGTTGTGGTTGTTGGAGGTCAGTCATTTCAGCTCCAGGACATCCTTGCAGGAGTTCCTCAGGGCAGTGTCCTAGGCCCAATCATCTTCTGCTCTTTCATCAATGACCTTTCCTCCATCATAAGATGAGAAGTGGAAATGTTCCACAAATGATTGCACAATGTTCAGCACCATTTGCGACTCCTCAGATACTGAAACAGCCCAGATTCAAATGCAGCGAGACTGCAGCAACTCAAGAAGTTAGCTCACTACCACCTCCTCAAGGGCAACTCAGGATGGGCAATAAATGCTGGCTCTGCCAGTCATGCCCCTTAATCCCATGAACAAATAAATGTTTTGAGCCAATATATCTGGTGTTTACACAGTCAAATTGAATTTGCAGCTTCAACCATTTTCTTTGGAGTTTGCGAGGGAAGGGCCCACCTCTCTGTTTGGACATATTCCTGGAGGTGGTATCACATGACCTCCAGCCTTCAACTGCCCTGCCCCTCCCTCCCTCCCCATTGGTTGTTCACCATGTCTGTGTGCACGATGCTGATTGTGACTATCAGCCAATCAACCTCTCCTCTAAGGTCTCATATCTCGAATGGCTCTTTATCAAAAGTTTCCAAAGAAATCTTTTGAAAAATACAACTGTTCTAATGCTCCCATAATTTGCAAAATTTGCAATAAATAAAACCATAAGACTTTGGAGCAAATTTCATGGGGAGTGGGGTGTATTAAAAGCCATTTGCAGTGTAACATCTAGTCTTCTCATGTTGTGCAAGAAAGATGAAAACATTTTCAAGAAGTAAATAGTATGACCTGCTGATGGGGGAGAACCTGTCTTTTCAAAAATCTAATTCCAATTTGTTGTTCATCAAATGCATTGGACTAAATAATTGTTATACAGAAGCACAACAAGCATCGCTATATAACTAATCATTTGGGAGTAGGGAATTGGGTATTGCTGAAAAGAGACACATTTTGTTGAAGATTTTTATCTTGTGCTTATCAGGATATTTCACAATAAATACCAAAGTAAAAGGAAAACCACATTTATGCTGCAGAGAGGAGAGTGCTGATTGGTTGGCGAATGGAGTCTGATTCGTAGATGCGTTGCCTTGGAGAATGCATCAGTTAATGATGACTGGCAGTTAACCACCAAGCCTTTTAACATTTCCAATCAGGCAAGTTGACTTTTGATTGGTCGAGACATTTCTCTGAGAAATGAAAAATAGAATGGCTGGTACCTATTTTGTTGAGTAGAAACAGGCACAATGAGTGTATATGGTCTTTATATCTGCAAAATACATGACCCTAGATATTAATATATGTACCTTTCCACTGGTAAGCTGAGAACCAGAACGCACAGTCTCAGAACAAGGGGTAGGCTAGTCAGAGGGTGCTGAATTGTTGGAATTCTCTATGCCAGAGGGCTAAGAAGCTCAACTATTGGCCATTTTGAAGCCAATTAAATAGATTTCTAGACCCTATTGATATTCAAGGATATGGGTTGGTGGATAAAAGTGACAAAGAGGTGGCTGATCAGTTTAAATGGTGGAGCAGGCTCAACAGGTTGAATGGATTGCCTTTGCTCATTTTCTTATAAAATTCTATCTAAAATTTGGGCCCAAATATCTGTAAACCTAAATCTGAGCCAAACACAAGAGTGCTCCTGCAGCTACCCTGAATCAAACGCTTCCTTTGCTTTCTAGTTCATCCCAATGAGTCAGGTTGGAACATTGTGCAAATTCTTTTTAAATACGGCAACTGAAAACTGACACATGCTTTAAGAAGGGAAGTAAGTGAGAGTTTTACTTCATTCTGGTGTCCTCTGGAGGGATCACCTCACGAGTATGAGTTGGTCCATTCAAGTTCACCACAAACAGTGAGATTGTTGGATTTTCTTGGCCAGCCTACAGTCAAACAGATAAGAATGGATATGACATTAGAATGAAGATGATAAATTTTAACAGTTTCAGCAGGACGTGTCTAAAAAATACATAGTTAATTGTTCACCGCAGTTAAATATACGTGTTAATCAGCAGCTTTTTTATATTTATTCATGGGATGTGGGCATTAATGTCCAGCATTTACTGTCCAAAGAATCAAACATTGCTGTGGCTGGAGTCACATGTAGGCCAGATAAGAGATGGATGGCAGATTTCTTTCCATACAGGACATTAGTCCAGATAGTTATTGAAAAATAATAACTGACAACAGCAAGTGTTAGGCAATCTTTTTATTCCATTCAATTCAAATTTCACCATGTGCCACAGTGGAATTTGAACCAATGTCACCAGGGCATTAGCCTGGGGCTCTGGATTACTAGTTCAACAACTTTACCACATGCCATCGTCCCTCTGTTAAGAGGGGGTAAGAAGATAAAGAAGTGAGAAGATAAGAGAAGTAAAATGAGGTGAATATCTGGGCAATAGTGATCATAATATAATATGATAATATATCTGACAACATAAAATTATTCAGACGATGTCAGTGAAGAACGTCAATGTGTCAAAAACCAAGTTAATAAATCAGAGAAAGGCTGATTTTGAGGGACTGAGAATATGACTTGGAAAAACAGCATGGACTCCTATATTGCCAAACAACAATGTAGAAAAATAATGGTAAACATTTCACTGGAACGCTGAAAATATATACCATGTTAAAAAGGAAGAATGCTCCAAATGAATTTAGACATTAGGGAACAGCTTCAGAAAAGCTTTTATATTATATTACATAGACACATTTCTGAAAGAAAATTTTCCAAAACTCTTAAAAGCTCAAAAAGAGACAGACCCAGGTAGAGGTAATGCAATGCATTTTGTGTGCGGTTAGTCTTCATTTTGATCCAAATATTTTACTTTGAATAAACGTGAAAAACCTGCCCACATTGTTGTCTGTAGGTCGCTTTCCTCTTTAATAGTTACCTTCGGATAAGGATACGTCTTTCCGGTGGGATAAAGGGAGCTAAGGTACATCGGGATTTCCATCGTGTGGACCTTTGAATCATTAATTGTAGCGTAGGCCAGCCTGGCTCCATCTGGAGACCACCAGTGAGCAATATTGGTTTTCAGAAGTTCTTCTGTGAAGATAAACAGAGTGGTATCATTTAAGAGAGATGACTAAAAACATTCTACTGGGTAGAGGCACTTTGGAGAAGCAGTACACATTTATAGCTGATGTCCAAATATGGTCAAGTAGTGACTTAGGTGGTACATCTCTAAGATGTGTGCAATTACGTGTAGCCCGATAGCCCGAGAAACATCTGTTCCCTCTGTCACCACAGAAGTCAGCTCAGTCTTCCTGGGAATCAACACAAGGAAAGCGATGGACCCGGACAGTGTCCCTGGCTGACTCAGATCCTGTGCAAACCAACTGTCAGATGTATTCACCAACATCTTCAACCTCTCCTCCTACAAGTTGAAGTTCCCACCTGCTTCAAGAAGACCACCATCACCCCCATACCCAAGAAAACACATGCAGTGTGCCTTAATGCCTACCGCCCAATAGCTCTGACTTCAATAATCATGAAGTGCTTTGAAAGGCTGGTCATGGCCTACATCAACTCCAGTCTCCCAACCTGCCTTGATCCCCTACAATTTGCCTACTGACATAACAGGTCCACAGCAGACACCATTTTCCCAAACCTGCACTCATCCTTAGAACATCTGGACAACAAAGGCACCTATGTCAGGCTCCTGCTCATTGACTACAGCGTCACCTTCAACACCATTATCCCTGCCAGACTGATCTCAAATCTCTGAGACCTTGGTCTCAGCTCCGCCCTCTGCAACTGGATCCTCAGCTTCCTGACCCATAGGCCACAATCAGTGATGATAGGTAACAGCACCTCCTCCCCAATAACACTCAACACTGGAGCCCCCCAAGGATGTATCCTCAGCCCCCTACTGTACTCCCTGTACACCTACGACTGTGTTGCCAAATTCCAAATGAACACCATCTACAAGTTGGACAGATAGCTACCAATGACAAGGCAAAAGACAGAAAGGAGATAGAAGGCTTGGTGACATGGTGCAATGAAAACAATCTGTCTCTCAACATCAGCACAACTAGAGAACTGATCATCGACTTCAGAAAGGAAGGAGGAGAACTCGCCCCCAACTACATCAACAGAGCTGAGGTTGAGAGAGTGAAGAGCATCAAGTTCCTCAGATTTGACGATAACTGACAACCTGTCCTAGATTTCCCATGTAAATGTGACAGTCAAGAAGGCACAACAATGCCTCTTCTTCCTCAGGCAGCTCAGGAAATTTGGCATGTTCATAAGGTCCCTCACCAACTTCTACAGATGCACCATTGAAAGCATACTGTCCGGATGCATAATGGCCTGGTATGGCAACTGCTCTGCCCAGGACCGTAAGAAACTACAGAAGGTGGTGTGCACAGCCCAGACCATCATGAAAGCGAACCTTCCATCCATGGACTGCATTTACACAGCTCACTGCTGTGGAAAGGCAACCAACATCATCAAAGACTCATCCACCCTGGTAATGATCTCCTACAACCTCTTCCATCAGGTAGAAGGTACAGACGTCTGAACACATGCACAAGCAGGTTCAGGAACAGCTTCTTTCTGTTCGTTATCAGACTGTTAAATGGATTCTAGCCTCAAATAATGTAACCTGCAATGTAACCTGGATGGTTGTAAGTCTTTTTGATCTGTACATGCTTTTCTTGCTGCTCATAAACAAAGCTTTTCACTGTATTTCAGTACATGTGATAATCAATCAATCAATCATTTGCCAGCATTTAGCCCATATCCGTCTAAACTCTTCCTATTCATATACCCATCTAGGTGCCTTTTAAATGTTGTAATTGTACCAGCCTCTACCACTTTCTCTGGCGGCTCATTCCATGCACACACCACCCACTGCATGAAAAAGATGCCACTTGGGTCCTTTTCAAAATTATTCCCCTCTCACCTTAAACCTCTGCCGTTTAGTTTTGGACTCTACCACCCTGGGAAAAAGACCTTGGTTATTCACACGGTTTCAGTTCCAGTTTTATGAAATGAATTCAGATTTCACCCACTGTCATGGTGGGATTTGAGCTCCTGCTCTCAAGCATTAGTCAGGGCCAGTGCATTATTAGCTGAGTGACATTCCTAATCTGCCACCTTCACCACTGTGATGCTTCCTGTGGATGATACTCACTGTATCAATAGTGGAGGGATGGCTGCTTAAATTGGCACATGGAAGGTAACATTCCTTGTTGCCCATGGAGTTCTTGAATGTGCTACCCGAAAAGATGGGGCTAACAGATTCAATGATAACCTTCAGAAGGAAATTGAACATATACAGGAAATTGAAAAATTTGCAAGTCGGTGGGGAGAAAGTCAGGACTGGTAAGGAAAGCTCCATGATCTCAGGACGAGGAGGAGGAGAAATTTCTTTAACCAGAGAATGGTAAGCTTGTGGAGTGAACACAAGAAGGAGACAGATACGGTTCTTAGGTCTAAAAGAATGTGGGATTTTGGGGAAATTTCAGTCGTCTAGTGGAAAAATTAATACGGTAGCTGAAATGGTTGTCTGAGGGACAGTTATCAGTCAATCATCTGAAGCCTGAATACAGCCTCAATAGTTGTTAATTGCTATTGAAACTTAATTAGTGTGAGTCACCTCATCTTACCCAGCTGTCTTTACAAAAGGCCCTGTTAAAAGCACATGATCACTAAGCTTTGCATGGTCAGGAACCAGAGAGCATATTGGGAGTGAGTCACAGCGTGAGTGAGTATTTGGGGAATTTGGAGGCAGAGTTGGGAATTCGATGCAGAGGGTAAGAGGTGCTTTTTGCTTGCTTTGTTTTGGCTAATGGTTTGTAAGGTTTTCTTTAAAAAAGAAACAAGGATCAGGATCCTAAAACAAAAGAGTGACATCACAGATAAATGGTAATCATAGAATCCCCACAGTGTGAGTACAAGTGAGGCAGGTACAGGGATAATGGAGGTAGTGCTGATGGAACCTCAGCCCTTGAGTTTGTCTAACAGGTTTGAGATTCTCACTCCCTGTGTGGATGAGAGTGGGGGCTGTAGGGAGGGCGAGCAAACTGATCATAGCACCACAGTACAGGGAGCCATTCAAAAGGGGGAGAAAAGAGATATGTAGTTGGAATTGGGGATAGTATAGTCAGGGGAGTAGACACTGATCTGTGGCCAGGATTGAGAGTCCTGAAGGCTGTGTTGCCTGCCTGGTCCCCGGGTTCAGGATATCTCATCTGGGCTGCAGATGAACTTTGAGTGGGACAGTAAAAGATCCCAGCTGTCATAGCTGACGTGGATACTACTGATATATGTAGAAAGAGGAAAGAGGTTCTGCTGAGGGAATATGAGGAGCTAGGGGCTAAATTAGAAAACAGAACCAAAAACTATAATCATCTCTGGATTACTACGACCTGAGCCATCAGCAAATTAGCACAGGGTAAACAAGATTAAAGAGGTGAATAAGTGGCTCAAAGATTGGTGTGAGAGAAATGGGTTTGAATTCATGGGACATTGACACCAGTACTGGGGAAAGAGGGAGCTGTTCCAATGGGATGGACTCCACCTGTATCATGCTGGGACCAGAATCCTGGCAAATTGCATAACTAGGACTGTGCGTAAGGCTTCAAACAGCGTGTGCGTTGTGGGGGAAGGGGGTGTGGATTCAGTGCATGGAAAATTATGGGCAAAGTTAAAAGGGGGAGAGCTCAGCAGAGGTTATTAGTGTTTCCAGACAAACAATAAGATGGATAGGCTCAGGAATCTAACTTCAGGCACAGCAGATAAGGGGGCAACTATGAGAAGGGGGGCAGTCAATGCAAGACCCAGGGTGTTGGACTTAGGCACATGCAGTAGAAGAAACAAGGCAAATGAGTTTGTAGGACAGATTGAAACTGGCAGGTGCAATGTTGAGGGCAATACCAGAGATGTGGCTGTAAGGGGATCAGGGCTGGAAACTAAATATCGATGGATTTGTGTCCTATTAAAACAGCAGGTGGGGGGAGGGGTGCAAGGTTGCCTTGTTAGCAAGAAATGAAATTAAATCGGTAGCAAGAAGTGATGTAGACTCGGACACTGTCTCAGAGTGAAGGGACAATGCTTTAGAACTGAAATGAGGAGGAATTTCTTCAGCCAGAGGGTGGTGAATCTGTGGAAATCATTGCCTCAGAAGACTGTGGAAGACAAGTCATTGAGTATATTTAAGAGAGAGATAGATAGCGTCTTGATTAGTAAACAGATCAAGGGCTACAGGGAGAAGGAGAAGAATGTGGTTGAGAAACATATCAACTGTGATTGAATGGTGGAGCAGACTTGATGGGCCGACTGGCCTCATTCTGCTCCTACACCTTATTGTCTAAAAAACAGGAACAAGGTACAGAGTTGGATAATCAGCCATGATCATATTGAATGATAGAACAGGTCCCTACTTTCTATGCTTCTATGACCCCTGTATGTCTATATTCTACAGGAATGAAAGCTCTTTGCCATGTTGGGGGAAATGGTGGCAGTGACCAGTAATCCAAATGTTCTGCAAGCAGGAGTCTGAATCCCACTATGGCAACTGGTGGAATTTAAATCCAGTTAATAATCTCATCAATGGTGACCAAGAGAGCTATCATAGATTGTTGGGAAAATCTGTGATTCACTCATCCCCTTAAGGAGATGCGCCATCCTTCGCTGGCCTGTACTCCTGATGCCGGAACTGAACTGTGCTCTGAAGTGGCGCAGCACGCCACTCAGCTCAAGGGAAGATGGAAATGTGCAATGTTGGGTTTGACACTACCACCCACATAAAAACATAGCAAAATAAGAACTGGAGTTGGCTCTTCAAGCCTGCCCTGCTAATCATGGTTGATCATCCAACTCCATATCCTGTTCCTGCTTTCTCCCCTTAATCTTTGATCCTTTTAGACCTGAGAACTATATTACTTTAGCCCTAAGGCTGTATCTAAATGAATCTTATTTCAACATTAGAGGAGTTGTGAAGCCTACTGAATCACTTCATAACCATCAACCTTTTGAAGGAAAGTGCCTTTTCAAATGCTGAGGTCTCTCAGTTGGCCTGTGTTACCCTGGATTAAGCA